GCAATGTGCACTTAATGCAGAAAAGTAATATAAACGTTATTATAGTGTAATGTTTTTGTACCCTTTTTTACTTGATCGTGCATCTGCGTGACAAACCATTTTCTACGATAAAATAAAATTGAAAATTTCCGAATTTATGCAATTTTTTCCTTGATATTATGCACATTTTGTGAAACAATTTACAATTCATAAACCTATACATTCCTTCTTTTAATTTCTACAGAAACCCATGTGTCTTTAAATGTTATATCAACCACATATAACTCACTGTAAACATTAGTTTCCTATTTTGAAGCAATAATTGCAGATTAGATGTTTGTTTTATACCTTTCGTTAAATTTAGTTTGTTAACGTTAATTTGTTCACACTAGTAAATAGACTCCTATCAGAACCCTATACGTCACGCATTACAAACCATGTAGAATGTCAGTGTCTAGGTCTTAGTGATTTTTTATTATCTATTTATGCCGCTTTGTACAGATTAAAGTTATGTAGTCATAAGGTATAGGCGTGGAATTGACATTGAATGGTAGGAAAAGGAGAATTATTTCTTACTCATGTTGCACGGAGAAAGGGTGTTTGAAAAAAAGACACTTGCCATTTGAATATTCAACATCTGAATTTATTCTCACGAAGGACTGAATATCATTACTCGACCGAATGAATCATAATCATTACAACTCAATTGTTTGTACATGTACAATTTACTATTTCACGAAAACTACCACGAATCCTTATTATACAATTGAAATTCGTTTTAATTTCGTACTTCGAATCACAAATTCAATTGGAAAAGAGTCAATTATATTTACATTGTACTTTTTTGCCACACACAGTTCAATCTTTCGCACTTCTCGACAGATTTTCAGTATTACAGGAGAATGTGCCCTTACGTAGTCAGACTGGTCATTTTAGAATTAACAGTTCTCCAGGTTCAGTGATTTCGTACAAGTGTTAAGTTTAGAATGTACAGAGGCGTATGTTGTCAAGGCTTGGCCGTGTTAAAACAATAGGAAATGAATAGAAGACCTTCTTCTGTGAATACGTTATTGTCGGATTTTTGTATGCCTTCGTGCCAGCGATTTTCTCATCCGTGGGTTCATGCAAATATAGGCACCGACATTGAACAGTTGACATTGAGCGCCGGGAAACGGTCATTAAGCTCAATATCGGTGTACGCGACCACGCTTGGTGATCGACCGCAATGTCACTAACCCCGATAAAACATTGATTACTCTCACCTCGCCTGAATACGAAACGATTTCTAGCTCCTCGTTATTGTGGCACGCTTACATCGAAATCGTGTTGGGGAAAAACCGCGGAATCCACTTAAACGATGTAAATTACACCCCAATATTCCATACCATCGAATCAGATTAACGGTAAGAATGAACATTTGTCCCAAATATTCACTAACTTTGAATTGCACATTTAAATCTTCACTGGTCTGTCTTTATATGTATGACATTTGAACACTTACGATCCCAAACAAAAAAGTTATTAGTCTAGCATATGAATAACGTTTAAAAATTAAAAGTATAATATCGTACCAAAATATATTTCTTCTAGACGGATGCTACGAAAAACAGCTAAGAATACTTATCTAAAGTACTAATTTCGACTAACGTTAATATAAAACGTACAATTTATGTGCGATTAGCAACCATAACCATCCACTACTCACGATAACCCAACAATTTAAAAAAAAAGAAAACATGAAAAAGATAATATAACATTTTTTTGGTCCTAACTCGACCCTAATCGCTGGACTTCCATTACAATCAACATACTTCTATTCTAGGCATTACTTTACTTATCCCCGAAATTTCATGAAGATTGGGCCCCTACTGTGGGACATGGCGGTGTTTTGGCCCTAGGGACCCCCCCGCTGGTAAAACGAGAAAATTACGCGGCCTAAAATCTTCCTCGAGAATTGTACGTACTGTACGAAAAGACAGACCGCATCGAAATTGATCTGTTAATTCTTCAGTTACATGGTAACAAACGAATACAATTTATTTTATTCTACATATTTCGGAGTTTCTCTTGCAGTTTCCGTTACAAATATCATCTTCCATTATTCAAGCAACAGTACAATAATTATCTTTGAATCCTAATTTTGAATCAGTAGAATTTCGATGCTACGTTTATTACAATTTTACCTTCAAGCACCGAAAGACTCTCTTGACCCACTACAGCGTAGATGTTCAATGAGAATCAAGGGAAAGAAATGAACGTATTTCCGGTGCAATCAGACGTACACATAATGTTTCCAGATCTGCCTTGAAGACACACGTTTTGCAAAGCGTCACGCTTTCAGAGTGTCACGCATCAACGAGTATACCAGGCGTATATATCGTGTCGCGAGTGTACCACGTATCACTTTATTGGTAGTTTCGAGGACACGTGCGCGGTTTAACTGTAAAACTTAATGTTTCGCCCCGGAACGACGTAGCAAGCCCCGTTCTCCGGACTGTAATTTTCGTTTCGCTCCATTGTTCACGAGCAATAAAAATCGATCGTTATTGCAGACACGGTGTACAAGTTTACAAGACCGCGAGATGCCGAACGTCTTTGCATCACCTTCAAAATTGCAATGTTTCTTTCGTTGACTCCCCTGTTACACTTAAAAGCCACCGTTTTTTTGTACAACGCTCTGGTCCATGGTCGTGTAATAAGGTCTCATTAGAGTACAAACCGCAGTCAATAAATAAATGTGGTACTTGGAGAAGCTTAAGGTAAAATTCAATTATTTCAGCTTAACCCTTTTAGTGCCAGGCGAAAAAGAGGTGCCTATGCGAGAATAACCGGCCGAATTTCACGGTTTTACTAGGGTTTGGGAAAATGGTCATAAAAACCAAACAAGAAACAATATTTACATGATTCAAAATTTTTTAATTTTTTATTTTTTTTAATTCTCTCGTAATGAAATTAGACCATTTATAACGTATTATAAATTTATTTTGAGATAGAGTTCTCCCGCAATGCGAATAGTAAAGCGCTATAAGTCGCGGGCCGATATATCGGCTCTGGCACTTCTCGCCAGTGCAGCAGGAGCCGATATATCGGCCTCCGGCACTAAAAGGGTTAAGTATAGCCCCAAAATTTGCTAGTGTACCTTCCAATAATTGTTTTACTTGTTAAGAAGCTTGTTATGCTTTGGTATGCTTATTGTAGTATAATGGAAATAGTAACTTATTGTTTTTCAATATTATTTGTATATTCAGATTTGAAAATTTTTTATTTCATGATACATCGTGTCAATGACCAGACACTTACCCTGTCATGCATACGTAGATTCTCAAGAATTAGCCAGTAATACAAACATGACAAGTAAAATTTAATATCATAGTTATCGATACCCATATAACAATTATATTAATTTTAAGAGTAATTACCGTTGATCACTTGTACTGTAAAATAATGTTGAAAAATAAAATCAAATACTTTGTGAGCGATATCTGCTAATAGATAATGCAAAAAAATCTTGTTATTTTTGCAGCTTATGTACATATTTTACCTCTGCAGTCGTTCATCAAATTAAAATAGTGATAATGCTAGTGCTGAAATGCTGGCAAATATCTGACTGAAGTATGGAGGAAGACTCTGTTCAAATATTTCTTATACCATAAAACTGATACCCCGTGTTGGCGAAGCTATTATCGCGTAGCAGCGTTATCGGCGACATCGGATAACTATGGTTTCCACCATGTACCGTGGTTTAAAGAAACTCAGGCCCGATAAAACTGGTGATGTACTACGGCGTCTCTTTGGAAACCGGCGAGAACGTGATTGTAAAACAACGTTAGATTGTAATTTATAATTACGTCGGGCGAAACACGTAAGTTTCTCGATTCGAACGTTGGAGTTTTGCATCGCGGTGAATTCTTTCTCTCCGCGATGCAATTAACCGCAGGAGACGCAAATGTTATGATCAGATAATACGGGCACGGTTGTTACATTTGATTACAATATGAAAAGATATTCATCTGTTCGGGGTTACATCATCCCGTTATTCGGCAAATGTAGGAGCCGGGGTTTGGTCTCTTTGTTGCATTTTGTTGAATACCAACAAGCCTATTACAACGAAAGCTCATTGTACAAATTTATTATATATGTGTCATATATATGTCGATTGAGAAACATACAGTATCGTTAAAAATAAAATGTCATTTTGTGTTAGACTACCCATTCGAATGTAAATAATATATTGAAAGACCATGTTACTTCGTCGTAAAAGTTCGTTCTTTTTTTTAAACTTTGTGCGATTATTGTCTTGAAAATATACTAATAGACCAGAGAAGCGAAAATGTATTGGAGTCTTTTTAAGGTAGTAAGATATAATTAATACTTCGTTTCTTACACATTTTAAGCTATAATAAGAGATGTTTTACTTTAAGTAGTTCCGAACGATATCGATTGGTAATTGGGATACACCGAAGGTATTATTAATGCTTCCTTATCTATTTCAATTTATCGTTAGATCTATTTATTAATTTTCAATTAACGGTACGTTTAACATTTTCATTTCAGTTTCCTTACAGAGACTAATTTTATTTGAAAATTTGTGGACACTGTAATATGAACACAAGAATACTCAAATTCGGTTCGATCTATAATCTATAAAATATATAACTTTTTTTTTGTTGTTTAAAACAATCTTTAAAAATAAATGGAAAATATGCGAAATGATTAGAGTATTGGAATTAATTATCAGCCCTATTAAAACGTACAGAGTAGACGTTTTAACACGATTATTTTTTAAACGTGATGATAAGTCCCGCGTAATGTTAGCGTAAGTCCGCGTGGTTATTGTAGGAATAACTTACCGACGGTGCAGCACAGAACTATATTACTGAATCGAGCGGGCATTCTAAGCAGATTCAACGCATGGTTCGCGAATCGCATTTCAGACTCGAGAATCGTCGAGAGGTCCTCGATTGAACTTCGATAGCATTAGAAAACATTAGCGCCGGAGTAAATGTATCGCCGAAACAACGAACTACGTGGAAAACGATAGTGTTACGCACAACGTATTGGGAGCTTTTCTTGATCGTACGTAGCACGAGGGCGATAAAAGTGGGCAATACTTGTGAAACAAAATAACGACGTCCGCTGGGACTGGCCATCTTGGAAAGATATGTCGTATCGGTCAAAACGTCAACAATATAGTGTGTATTGTTCGATACATGCCGCCAGCTTGCTTTAACTGCGGTTGACTACACGCCAAATCAACGGGAGTGAAGGCGACACGGTGGCGTATCTGACACGCGGACGTAATCGCAAAAGAAGCTACAGCTTCACCGAATAATGAATCGCTCTGACGGATTGGTACAACGACGACGTGTGGTTAACAGTAGTAGTGGCAGTAATCTAGGCCAGGATGGCTCGAACGATGTCGGCCACAACGACAAACTGTCTGGCCACGGGATGGACACAGACAGTTCCACGCAGAAAGATCTTAATTCGAATCCCACGATCGACGACGATTCCGATAAAGAGACACGATTGACACTCATGGAGGAAGTTCTCTTGCTCGGTCTGAAGGACAAGGAGGTTTGTTGACATTATTGTCCTATGCTGGATTCCTCCTTTGATGTCACACCTTGTACGATAGGCGAATGGCTCATATCTGACTCTGGAACTGTCCAATCTTTTACAGGGTTATACTTCATTTTGGAATGATTGTATAAGTTCTGGATTACGTGGTTGTATTTTGGCAGAACTTGGATTTCGTGGTCGAGTGGAGTTAGAAAAGGCTGGTATGCGTAAGAAAGGATTATTGGTGAGGAAATTACTATTGAAGAATGATGCACCAACGGGTGATGTTTTGTTAGATGAAGCCCTTAAACATTTAAAGGAAACTGATCCACCTGAAACTGTTCCTAGTTGGATTGAGTATCTTAGTGGTGGGTTTATATAATTATGATGTTACATATAAGTGTATAGTTGATGAGTTAGAACAGATTTTCAATGTTGCTTTAAATCTATTTAGGAGAAACATGGAATCCACTCAAGTTAAGATACCAGTTGAAAAATGTTAGAGAAAGATTAGCCAAGAATCTTGTAGAAAAGGGAGTTTTAACAACAGAGAAACAGAATTTCTTACTCTTTGATATGACAACTCATCCTCTTACCGATAACCTTGCCAAAAGTCGTCTTGTAAAAAAGGTATGCAACTTCTGTATTATCATATTATGTTTTCTACTTATTCATAGTATTCTGACCCATAAAAATGATATCTTATCTTGTATATAAATGTGGGTGTAATATGATTAGATTATTTATGTTCCTGTGGGTTTGGAGATCTTTAATGCATTGTGTTATGTTTTTTATATTTTATAGATTCAAGAAGCTGTTTTAAGTCGTTGGGTCAATGATGCTGGCCGCATGGACAGGCGGACATTAGCTTTAGTAATTTTAGCCCATGCAGCTGATGTGTTAGAAAATGCATTTGCACCACTTTCTGATGATGATTATGAAGTAGCAATGCGACGGGTACGGACATTACTAGACCTTGACTTTGAAGCAGAAGCTGCTAAACCTAATGCCAATCCAGTTCTTTGGGCTGTATTTGCTGCATTCACTAAGTAACAGGTCTTCTACAAACTACAACTGTATAAAGCAAACATTGGGTACTAGCGTGAATACTTGAGACTATCAATTTTTGCATGAATTTTAGTTGCAATCACAAATGAATAGCTACAATCATTATTAATGATCATACGATTCAGACCAAATATCTTGAACCCAACTGTGTAAAGCAGACTTAGAATATTAGTCATTTTCATTATTGTTATTTAATACATTTGATAGCTGAATTATGAATGTTCATATTTAAATATTACAAAAAAATAACAAAATTTAAAGTGTGAATGAGTACTTTGTGTGTGGGATAGTGCCATGTCAGTTAAAGAATGAACAATTGCACTCTGCTGAGTTCTGTCCTTATCTTCTCAGTATTTATTGTGTCTGCACATGGACTGCAAATATGTTTGTAGATTGCTAGTTGTCTAAATATTGAAGCGATGAAAGTAATTCTTTGCACAGTTGCGACAGTGACGACGAATTTCTACTATTTCTTTAAATGTCCTCTTTATACAAAACTGAATTACAATAGGTTTACTTCCAAAATTACTTTTTATGAAAACGTTACATTATAGCTTCACTAGGTGGCAGTAAAGTACTCAAACGTTAAAAACATAATTTAAAAAGATCGTTATGTCAGACGTTTAAATCTTTTTCGATATATCGTAAACATCGATAACCAAATGTATCGTGAAAATATTTTCATATAGCAGACAAATATCGAAGTTGATAAGTTCTTTTGAAATATTTGCAAGTTGTAGATACGTTTTTAATGCTTTTTGTTATTAACTTATCATGTACATTATGAACATTGTATGATGTGATATGTAAGTAGAAAAATGCAACCTGGGGATTTGACTAAAATAGTAAATCACTCTGTGAGGAGAAGACAGACGCCATTAAATGCGGACTTGGATTTTTTAAGAAGTACTGTTTTTCTTTACGCATAATGGAAAAATGTAAGTAAATGTCAATAATATGTATCATTTTTCTTTGAAAAATTTTTAAGTACATATAGAGTAATCAAGAAATATTTTACCTTGTTTTTCAATTTTACAGTCGTGTAAATCAATGTGACCGTTTTTAAACACATTCTTTTACATAACATTTTCTAATGAGATTCGAACTGTAATAATCTAATATGCATAATTTTGAGTACAAAATACATTATACTCGTAAAACAAAATTGTCATTCTCGCGATTACTAATCGGTTCTGGAATTTATGTATATCATAAGTAATATTCTCGTAGATATATTTATTTAACTGTCGCATTTTTGAGTATTTAATTCAAAAATTATATTTGTGATAGATGCTCATCTTCATGGTAGAAGGTTTATTCTTGATTTTACAGCTATATAACTCGATCCTATTGATTTCAATGTGAATTTTGTATAATCTTCTCTTATATCAATAACAGTTTGTATATTCATATGATTTATCACATCCAAATACGAAAAATGAGGATGTCTATACATGTTTGTATTGTTTATTAATAGTACAGCAATTGAAAAGTATACATATATTTTAAAATGAGAATTTTTACCGTTAATTTAACCTACTAGCATAGTCTTTCCTAATTTGAAATAACATTTAATCTTAAATATCTTTATGTGGTTACATGTATTATGGGACATCGTATATCTAATAGAATTTTTATGTCCACTAACATGAAGATATTTTATGTAATGTATTCATAATGTTGAGGGAATTTATACATAAGTTTGTACAATATATAAAATTATTTCTTGTTTTTAAGTAATTGTGTATCAGAAAATGATAAATTTATTTTTGTCTATATATATATATATATATATGTGTATGTATATATATATAATGTATATATAATATATATATAATATATATATAATATATATATAATACATATATATATAACTTAAAAATAATAAACAAAAATTAAAGAAGTAGGTATTGTAAAATCCCTTATTATTGCTGCCTTAGTATTATAGTTATTGTTATTTCTTTGTACTTGTATCGACAGTAATGAAATACTATTACACATACTACATCTAAAGTAATATAAAATATACCAGAAGCGGTTTAGAAAGTATCAGTTATTGTTACATTTCTTGTATTATGACAAATAGTTAATAAACACAATAATTTTATACTTGCACTTATTGAAAAGTTTGCTTTTAAAAATCGTAACATTATGAAGTTGTCCTGGGAAACAGCTTGCTGGACAAGCATATTCGAGCAATATTATATTAACATTTTTAGTATTTGATATAATTATGCTACCAACAGCAGACAATGGTTTCGTGGATATAAAATTTCACGTATGAAAAGTATGTACTGATGCATATATACCGATTTAAATAATTTTCGGGATTTCACGAGATCTACTGCCACTTGGTAGGATTCTTCAAAATTCTCTTTAACTTTAGGAAAAGTACTAAATATAAATTATATATAATTAATTGAGAAAATGTTATATTTTAAATTACTCAATATTTTCATTTTTTTTTTCTTGATTTCTCAATTTGTGAAAACGTGATTTTAATTATAAACTCAAAAAGTGATGAATACGTTAAAATAAAAAAATCACAGCTCATTAAATTTCAAAAGTTACAAGTTTTAATAGTTACTTGAGTTATTTAAAAGACTTGTGATACTTCAGTGTAATTGAAGACCTAAGTTCTATACAGATGATCATATGTTTGATGGAAGTTTGTTTAAACCAGTTAAGAAAAAAAATTAATGTTCTATTCAGTTGTATCATCTATGTAGTATCATAAGCACATTGATGTTTAATAAAAATCAATTTTTTAAAATATATACATCTAATATTTTTTTCTGTATTTGTCATTACTTGATATGAATAAATATTACGAACTCATACACAAGAAAAACAAAGTGATCACATACCACTTAGGTATTTCCAAAAGCACAATATGAAAATTTTAGTAAAGGAAGGTACAACATAGACTAACAACAGAGAAGAATATTACACATCCATTATTTGATACAAATTGTAAATAATAACGCAATGTATTTACTTATGCTATTAAATACTAATACTTATTTTTATTATATGTGAAACAAACAATACTGAAAACAATATGTTTTCTCTCTGTAGAATTTGTAAAATTTTATTTTTCTTATACAACTCTATACAGTATTGTATGTACAGTTGAATCATTAATTTCAAAGATATAGTTAACAGTATGAAAACCTTATAGTTTATAAAGATGCAATATCACACATATAATTTAAATATAGAAAATTCGTATTTATACATATGTGTAAGAAGTATTCAAAAACAATGTTATTGAAATAATTAATATAATGTAGCTTCTTGTAATTTCTTTCTAAATTTATAAAACAGTTGAAAAATTGAAATGTTTCAGGTACCCACTGAATGTTGATGTACAAAGTATTTTAATAATTAAAGTATAAAGGTGTCTTGTAAAACTGTATTTACTAGGCTATATATGTACAGTTAATTATATACACTGGACACATAATAGCTGAAACACAGCACAAGATCAAATAGTACACATATACAAAATATGTGCAATACCATAAGAATGTATTTATATTACAATATGTTCGTTTTTTAATTTTCACTACTTTAACAAGTTCTATCAGAACATTGACAAGTTCCAGCAATAGTTGTTTGAATGAGTCCATATTGTCCTGTAAACATCCAACTTTCATCTTTTTTAAATAATTCATCTGATATACCCGATTGTAAACCAACACAGACATCTGATTTCACTGTCCTTAAACTAAGTACATGTGATGGTTGAAATCCTCTTAATGCTTGAGTAAATGCTGTTGTATATTCCCAATTTATGTCACCTACTAACTTCCTATAATTTAAGTCACCTTTAAATATGATTAGTTTAGCTTCTGATAATTTTGCATACAACACTTCATCATGTTTTTTCATTTCTGCAAAATCATATGGCCCTGTCCAATAGGATTCTTCCTAAATACAAAATCCATTTAATAGTAAATATTATATTGTACTTCAATTATGCATAATAGAATGTGTCATACCTCAATAGTCCATACATTATTCTTCAAATAATTGTTTGCCAGTTTAGCTAATTTTTGTAAATCTTTACTTGACGAATTGTTCATGTAGTCTAGAGTCCAATGAAAGTCCTTTTTCATTGTATCACTCACATACCACGGATACTGTTTTACATAAAACCTTATTCTTCCAGCAAGTTTGTTAGTAATCAAAAACACTCCTAAACATAAGTCAGTAAAAAATTCATATCCTGCATTATCAAGTACCATGTCTATAATGTCTGAATTATTAGTTTCGTTTTTCCTTAATAAATTCCAAATACATTCTGAGTTATTAACAAGAATGTCCGTTTGTACTGATTTTAGAATTTCTATGGGATTACTGCTCTGACTAACTTCTGTTCCAGCACTGAGCGATAAATCACATCTATAAAGAATACACATTGGTAAACTCAACAAAAATGTGCAAAGAAATATGTAAAATCAAACATACTTGTTGCCCCAAAGATTTAGTTGGAGGAATTTAAAAAGTTCTTCTCTCATTTCAACTATGGACAAAGGCTCTATTCTTTCTGTGAACTTCATTGTATAAGTGCAAAGAGCTATTATACTAATTAATGAGTTAGTAAATGCACTCTCCTTTTGTTGTTCAAAAGGATCATAGTTACACAGGTATCTCCTGAAAATAAATTCATTCTATACTCTTACATACAATTATTATAAACATTTTTAACATACATGAGAGCTAATTCTTGTGCAAGAACCCGATACATGTAACATTCACAGTATAACCAGATAGTGTTAAACCATGTTGGTGTATTGCCTTCTATCTCAGTCCTTGCCATTAAATATTTATTCCATTCATTAGCATCATTATTTGTTGTATTAGGTATCAATCTCATAGGCTTTAAGGTTTTATTAGTAACTATTTCATTCTTTAATTTACTAATAAATCCTACAATTTGTTTAATTTCTTCTGCTGCATTCTGAATAAATATATAGATATTTTCCATCATTAGATTCTAAACATATCTTTAGCCAAAGAGGTTCATCTCAACTTGTATACTATACCTCTCCATATATATGTGTAATATTTTCCTTATTACGACTTAAAGTGTCAATTATTTTAGTCAAAATTACAGGTAATCTGTCCTTGATTGTTATATAAGCAAAACTCCTACAATGAACATTAATAATTATATACAATTTTTATACTAAGGTAACAATTAATTAAATTTTAAATACAATGGATCTTACAAGGTAATATACCAAAATTAATACCATCTATATTATTGTCATAAATGTGTAATTTGATGTTTTCAGTTCATGCTTCTAGGTTAAATAATATTAAATAAAACTTATTTACCGTTTATAAATGCCTGCCAGACGGACACCAAAAGGTGTCTGTGTATCCTGTAAATCAAGGATATCTATCGAACCTGATCTCTGAGACATGTCTTTGTGTTTGAAATCACTGTACTGCACTGTACCACCTACTTAGACAATACAACAGACCACGATCAGCTGTGCTGTGCGCAGAGCGAGAAAACTGAAATGGATAGGGAATAATAATGTCGCATATTGCCTTTCGGTTTCATCTTACATAACAGAATGGGGATTTTGCTATTTACCGCGTGATTCTAGTTCCTGTTGTCCTTTGATAGTCGTGTCGTTTTTTTTTTTTTTTTTTGAAAATTCACGGATGCGAGATTATACGAGCAGACGATGAATGGGCATTCCTAGCATATGATAGTAACCACGTGCGATGCGCGCGCGCATGCTGCGCATCAATACTATATTGTGACTTTTGGTAAGTTTTTACTATGCTTCGGCGAGTTGAATGTTGAATGTGCGTAATAACAATAATAACAATATTGATACGTAACATGTAGACGGTTTAATAATACGACTCGTTGCTCATTTATATCATATCTTCAATAATACCGCACGTTCTATGGAGACATAATGATTTATTTTGTACACGATAAGGGGATACTTGGGGACAGACTATTCAAACTTTATGTATGTATAAAATTATTGTACATGTACAATATGTGGTGTATAACAAGAAATATATGAAAATATTTTCACGTTTTTATCACAATTGCAAGAAATTTTGATAAATTTCTAAAATAAGTAACCATTTCTTTAAAGTTTATCAAGATGTGAAGGGAAAAAGTTCTTTTACCAAAACTTTCACGAATTTTCAAAGCAAGTAAGGGAGAGAGCGAGAGCGATAGAGCGAGCCGCAGTATCGGTGCTCTCCGTCGGTGTCGACGCGTGCTGAGGAATTTCAGTGGTCTATGAGGGGAGGTGTGCGAGCGAGAGAGTACGGTAGAGCGTGCCGCGGTATCGGTGCTCTCCGTCGGTCCAACGCACTAGTGACGTTGCGTCACACAGTTTATTGACCTAGCCGTGTACGCCGTGTAC